AAAAAAAAAAAAAAAAAAAAAAGAATTTAAAAATTAACATTTAAGTTCTTGCACAATTGGCCTGCCTTGAACAGTGAAAGATTTTGACATTATCAAAATTGGGAAATAGGTCTGTTTTGAAATGCTAATTAAATAATTTCACTCTAAAGGAAAGGGTTTTATGGAATCTTGCACAAAAACTTGAAGTTTGATGTGTTTTTAGTCATGCCGGTGGTGTGAAGATCTTTAGTAACTGCAGCATGGAAGATTTTGCACATTTCATGTCCAAGCAATTATCTCAGTGTCTTCAGAATCAGCCACAATTGCAAATGGCTTATCAGTCGAGTACTTGCGGCAATGGGAAAGTGGATAGAGGGGAAGCCTGCGACTGCGGAACAGTGGAGGTCAGTGTCAGCTTGGGAAGACTGCAGCAGATTTGCATCAAAATTCTTAGTCACTCTTGCTAGTGTTGCACTGTCGTTGTCCCTCATTTATGACACTCGTCTTTCTACAAAGGCCTTCAGAATGATGTAGAGGGAAGTGAATAAAATTCGCAAGGGAACTTATGTGTTGCTATGTGGATTCACTGATGTGTAGCTCTGTTGAGGTATAACAATAGAGCTATGATTGCTTTAGTGAGGTAACAAAAATGGTATATATTTATGATGTATGACTTGATTATTTAAGTTTGCATTGTACAATAGTTACCATAAGCTAATTAACCTTCTAGTGATTTCCCTTTTAATGCACTTTATTTTATATAAGTTAATTTTTAAACTTTGTATTAGTATATACTTGCAGTGTAATTATATTTATTGTGGAGAGTTGGTAAATCTCCGTAACATATCTTAATTCTTTTTACATCCCCTTTTCCCTTTCTCCTTACTCCCTGTCAATTTCCCTTTCTGTCTCTCTCATTCTTCTAGTGGGAACAAGTAGGATGTGTCCTTTTAGCAAATTTCAGCTATACAATACTATATCATTAACCAGAAGTCACATTGTTGTATATTATACTGTATTTCCAGAGCTTTGTCATCCTAATAACTGAAACTTTGTACTTTGGGGCCATAATCTCTCTGTTTCTCCCTCCCCACTGTAGCCACCATTCTAATCTCCCAAACAGGTAGTTCTCAAAGTCGGATTCCTGAGCTCATCCACACTCATTCTACTTCTCCTGAGTAAATCCTTGGCAGTGTTTCTCTCCAAGCTATCATCTTCTGCCATTTGGAAAGAGAGGTGTAAGCCTTTCCCTGTAGAATCAGAAAACACGGTGGAGGGGTGCACATTTGCAGTTTTGAATATTTTAATCCAGGTCAATATTTTAGCCAAACACTTTTGAAATACACATAAGCAAGAGATAAGTTTTTCCAAACCACCGAGACTTTAGACAAACTGCCAAGTTGGAGGCCAGTGGGAAGAGTAGAGCTCCTACACAGTGGGGAAAGAGGCGGAGCTGAAATGAGTGAGCTCTGCGAGTCCCGCAGTGAGTGGTGTCGGCTTGGGGAGATCAGGGTGATGTGAGTGGAGTCCAGCCTTCCCCGGGCACTGGCTAGGGTCCCCACGTGTGCGCTCCCCAACATGAAAAGTATGTTTCTAGGTTCCCACGTGGGTAATGTGTTCGACAGAAATTGTTCCCCACCTCCCACTCACTGACTGTGGTTTGGTTTAAATGGAAACACCTTAAAATTTTTCACTACAAATTTAAGTAGTGTGTTTTAGCTCCATTAAATGCCATGTAACTGAGTCCTAAGCACACCGATCTCTTCCCTCTCTTGAATTCCGTATATATAGCAGTAGCAATGGCATTTACTGGATGGGATAACTGAAAAGATGTGTCCTAGTGAATGATTTTCTATAGTTTTTTTCTTTTTTTTTTGGTATCGGGGATCGAACTCAGGTCCTTGCCCTTGCGAGGCAGTCACCAGAACCACTGAGCTAAATCCCTGGCCCTTTTTTTTTCTTTTGTGTACTGGGGATCAAATTTGGGACCTTGCACTTTCAAGGCAGGCAGTGGCACAACTGAAATAAATCCCCAGCCCTCTTTGAAGTATTTGCTGTATTGAAAGTTTTACCCAACTAACCCCACTTCAAATCCCTGGGAATTTAAAACATATAAGTGTGTGTGTGTGTGTGTGTGTGTGTGTGAATGTATTATCTGTCCAACCTTCTCATTTCTTATGTGTTGCTTTTATTAGCCTTAGTAATAAAAATTTAAAAGCAGATTTATAGGTTATAGATGAATTTTAGGATAAAAGGGGCACCACAAGACATGGGTAAATGATATATGCATGACAGTTTTACCCACCTTGAGATATAATATTGTTGCTGAAGGAATTGGCAAGTGACATGCACATAGAGACGAGCTGAATGGAAGTAAAATGAAAAGTTTATTTTGTCAGAAAAGGGCCGGTCCCACTCAAGTACGCAATGCTGGTGACAGACCTCCTATTGGGTGGCAGCTTCCTCTCTTACAGGTTTTACAGCTATGACCTCATTCAGGTGGTTCCATTTCATTTCCTCAGTTCACATTACCCATACACAAATTACGGCAACCAGACAGTTCACTTTAACTCAGATGTAACAATTCCTTGTAGTTAGGGAGTTCACCTCACGATTCCTCTGGCTGTCTATCCTAGTGCACAGGAAGGGTGTGTTCAAGGTTAGGGATGAGGTCAGATGTCCCACTTCGTGCTCAGTGCCTCCCGTGTCTGTTAATTTTGAACTAAACAAAACAGATTGCTGTTAGAGACAGCAGAAGTCATTTTACATTTTCCTAACATTTTGTAGGTTTTTAGATTATTTATTTTAGATTGTTAAAAGTTCTCTGTATCAATATCATTTTCAAACTTTGTTAGAGAATTAAAAATTAAATAAACTTAAAACATTCCATAAAATATTGAAACCTCAGCAGTTCAATAGATTCAAATGGATCAAATAAGAACTACAGGGGCCCCGGGATTTAGCTCAGTGGTGATACTGCCTGCCTGGCAAGTGTGAGGTCCCTTAGATCCCCAGTACCAAACAAACAAACAACAACAAACAAAAGAACTATAGGAACCGGGAATGGGTAGATTACCACAGACCCCTGCAGTGTGTCTACAGTCTCCTATGAGTTACTACAACACAAGATGCTAAGAGTAAAGAAATAAGACAGAGTGAGCTGGGTCTCGGTGCTGATCACTGCTGCTCTGGACAGCGAAGACAAATGTTGCCAAAGGCATTTAGTATTTATTGATTACAGGCAGGGTGAGGTGAGACAGGTGTGCTTTGGAAACCTCTAAGGACATAGTGTGAAGAGTCCAGAGGTGACTGGGTGGAAGCATCTCAGGATGGCTGACGGGCAGCCAGGGATAGCTGCAGGCAAACAAGGATGTAAAAGAGAAGCAGAAGCACTGCTTATTTTTTTTTTTAAACTGGGGATCAAACTCAGGTCCTTGAGCTTGTGAGGCAGGCAGTGGAACCACTGAGCTGAATCCCTGGCCCAGGCACTGCTTATCTTACCTGGAGATATCAAAGGGAGATGGGACTGGGTCCTGCCAATACTGGATAGAAATGTCCGCTACAGAGAGCTAGTCACTAAGGCAAAGTTCTTAAACCACAACTTTGTTCGGTACCACTTGATCGAACTTGGGCTCTTCCACTTGAAAGGCAGGTGGCGGAGCCATGGGGCTAAATCCCCAGCCCTTAAATCGTAACTTTTTATGTCACATCTTGTATTTAACCAAATCTTTGTCCTAAAGAACCACAGATCATCTCAGTCTCCTGGTATGATCGCAGAGAATCCTATTATCAGCATAGCCAAAGCTAGTATAAAAACATGTTTTTAAAACACCAAGATCTATTACTTTGTAGGTAATTAATAAATATCTGTTAAGTAAATAAATGGGTGATCTTCCTGTTTGCCAACCTTTGAAGTTAATCATCTATCTGTGTACCATGCAGTGTGTTGTCATCATTAAAATGTATATCCAGTGTAAAAAAAATTTAAAAGATACTTCAGAGCTTTTGATTTGCCTTCCAGGAATGTGATAAGAAGCCACCTCTCTGCTGTGACCCTACCACGTGTCAACTGAAAGCTACTTCAAAATGTTCCGCAGGGGACTGTTGTGAGAATTGTGAGGTGAGGGATTTTTTAAAAATGTCTCCATGGCCTGACTAATGAAAATTATTCTTGTTTGTCATTCTCATAAATTCCCATTCTGCTTTATTCAATATAATTTACTCCACCAGTTCAAAAGTAAAGGAGCAGTATGCCGGGCTTCCCGTGATGAGTGTGATCTCCCTGACTTGTGCAACGGGTCCTCTCCAACATGTGGAGAAGACCTCTTCATTCTTAACGGGCACCCATGTGAGGACAGTAAATGGATCTGCATGAATGGGAGGTGTCTGACTGGGAAGGGGCAGTGTCAAGAAGCATTTGGTGAAGGTATCTATGATAATTTCATGATTTATGCATGTTTCTTGCTAGATACTGAAAAGAAATAGATGTCAAACTTCACTCATAATCAAAGGTCAACAGAGTAAGCAAAACTAAAAATCAAACGCAGTGATTGCAACCTGGTAAATATCACACAGCAGTTCATTCGTTAAGTTAGATTCCTAATGTGCTATGAGGATTAATAGTGACACTACTTAATATTGAGCAATACGGTAAGGTCTTTCAAAACACATGGGAAAAGAGCATCGAGAGCAGAAGCTATAACTGTATATTCCATACCAATACCAAGTCCGTAAACTTAAAAAATAACACATAAGAAAATGCTGCAGAAGTTATAAGAGTTTGGGTTCCAGTCTTTGGAATAAAATCAACATCATCAAAACAGAAGGGAAGGGCCAGGGATTTGCTCAGTGACCCCTCCCCCCCACCTCCCAGATACAAGGTCCAGAGTTCAATCCCTGGTACCAAAAAGCAAAAAAAAACAAAAAACAAAACAAAAGGAAGACCTCCAGTTGTCAGTGGTTGAGTAGATTCATTCAGGAAAAGCCTCCCGCTATCAAAACTGGGCGAAATAGTTTTCCATTTTTGTTTCAAAGTGTTGCAGAGCCACCAAGCATGTGACAGGGCCTCTCAGAGAGGTAAGAAGAATGATTCATTCTTGTTCCTTGAGGCAGCTGCTCCTTGGACAGGAATAGAGAAGTAACTGCTGAGAGGATAAGTAGGTCAGGAAAACCAGCCGCCATCCAAAGGCAGCAAGTGGAGCAGAATTTTCCAGAGCCTAAAGGGCTGGAAAGACAAAGGGTGGATGGAGCTCAACCTTTAGCGAGGAAAACGTGTTGGATAAACAGCCCACATTTTCCACAGAGACCCACTCGACTTGGCCCTGTAATTGGAACTCGTTTTCAGCCAACAGACACAGCGTACATGTGACACAGCTTCATTCTGTATGCAGGGGACACACACAGTTTTCTGTCAGTGTGGAAAATGAAATAAATGAATAATGAATTAAATTTTTTAAAGTGAAATTGAGAACACAAATGATGAGTTCTTAAGCAGATTAATCAAACAGGAATAGCATGTTCAAAGAGTAAACTATAGGGGGCTGTACAACATGAATCTGTTGTGAGATACACAATACAAGGGACGATAACTATAGCTGGCTGTCTTTGGTTTATTTACCCCCGAATGATATGTTAGACAGACATATTTTATTTCAGAATTGTTCCACTGTCTCCCATCTTTAGTTACAATCTTTGAAAGCCTCTGCTTTTAGTCAGATGCTCTTGTGTGCATACTGCCATCCATCTTTTCCTTCCCTTGCTGTATGAGATGACACCAATCACTTTAATTAATACCCCTTTTACCCAAAAGTAAGATCTCCTTAGGAAATAGTCTCAGGGCAAGGCAGTACAATGTTTGTGGCTAACTGATACTCTGAGGTTGGATTGGCATTTGGACCAGTTCAGTCTATACATAGTGCATCCTCATTTCCGTAGTGTGAGTCTAAGGTTTTCTTCAGAGACTTTGGCATGTCACTGAGACCCCAGATGCTAGCAGATCTGTAACCAAAACAAAGACTACAGAAAAATTCATTCTGCTCTCCAGAAGTTTTTCTTCTTGTGTTTAACTCTCCTGTCTTGCACCAGTTTAGAATCAGGAGAGAGCCTGGGGGAAGGAACCTACTGTGTGTTAAAGGCCCCTGAGTCTAATTTTGCCACTGAGTCTATGAAAGGTTGTCAGACTTCGGCCTGCTTTCCATCCATAACCAGCTTTGCAAGTGACCCCGAAACAAAGTAAACCATCACCTTTCTGTTCCATGATGATGCTAGGAGTTTTCCCTGACACCCCAGTGTGTCCAGTGGGGGTCCACTCATGGTATGTCATTTTCCCCGGGGCCACAATATCACAGTCTGACATTCCTGTCAAAGGCCTTTGGCTTAGGCCTTCAACTAGAGGACATCTGAAGAAGGTTATGAAAATTAAACTGGTCTTTAACTAAGCTGGGTCTTATGAGAATTAAAATTAAGCATATTATGCACATAGATTGGAGGTACATGTGAAAATGAACCAGTTGTGAAGTCAGGATTTCTTTTCTGATCTGAGGAAATGATGATAAAGCAAGATAATTGGGTTTTGGATTGATTTCAAAAGCCATTTATGCAGAAAGCTTATTGAGCAGTGAGTCGATTATATGTTTAAAAATGTTTTATGTACTTATAGACCTGTATTTATAGACTTACTAAAATTAGAAGTCAAACCATATGTAGTGATCAATGTAAAATAGATCTAGTATATGTGCGTGGACAGGAGGCAAGAATCAGTTTTTAAATATTTTTGCTGAAGTGGCTTTCTATGATCTTAAGGCTAGTTTTTATTTTCCATTTGATATTATGATGTTATTTTGTGTAATATATTTTAAATCACCTTACAATTATAAATATATTCATTAGTTATTTTAATTTGAATTACTCTATGCATCATGTGACTGACAACACTTTTTTTCAGGTGTAAACTTTGGTGCAAGTGATTGTTATGAGCAACTTAATTCTAGGAATGATATTTCTGGAAACTGTGGTATAAGCAGAGACGGGAGTTACACACCATGTGCACCTAGGTATGCTTTATGAAATCTAACTGAGAACCTCTGCTGCCTTGTATGTGAAAATATCACTAGTTAATTAAGCTTGTGTGTAATCAAGATATCACCTGAGCATGACATAAGATCGCATTCAATACAACCGTAAAAATGATAAATGTGCTGTCTGTGTCTGCCTCATGCACACAGATTATCCCTTGTCCTTTAGCACCAAGCAGTTTATTCGCATAAACATTAGTTACCTGTCAGCAATCATTTTTTTCTTTGCATGCTACCTCCTTAATTTTATGAAGAATGACGGTCTTTACAGGGTGGACATGAAAGCACATGAATTTTCACTATCCGCAAAGTAGAGTGTAGTATTGAGCAGTGTATGTCCTAGGGCCACAGTTGGTTTCCAATCCTAAGGCCGCTGTTAGCCCTTCTGAGATAGGAGCTTTGCATGGATACGTGCTTATTCTTAGCTAGGTAATGTGCAGAAAGTCAGTCGGCTCACCACTCCATGGAAGCCAGTTACAGGGAAGCAAGGAGGCGGTAGAGAAGGAACTTCATTCCCACGAGCTAGCAGACTGTAAAGACGGCAGGCGATTGTCCCAAAGGACCATCTTGGCAGGAAGGTGATTAAGAAGCTGTCTATACAGGAGATGTATAGTTGCAGACCGGTGGAGGTTTGTGGGCAGATGTACATTTGATTTCAATCATATCCTTGCAAGATATCTCCCCGTTCTGCAAACGTGAAGGAAAACAGTGGTGACTCTTGTCAGAGCTCATTATTTCCTTTCACTAATAGTTTGCTTGCATGGAGATCCTCACAGTTTATGCAATGGGATCAGGAGAGCCAAACTCACAGTACTACAAGAACGCCTGCTTCACTTGATTCTTGTGAAAGCTTAATGCTCAGCTTCAAATTTGTTTGTCCATGAGGCTATAATTGTTGCTGACTTTGTTGCCATTGTCAGGGTGGGATTGTTGTTGCTATTCATTGGTTTTCTCCTTGTGTCAATATCTGGATTGTCTTTGTATCCTTAGTAATACTGTGACCCATTGCTGGAGAACTGGGTGCTGGGCCAGTTTAATGGCAGCCTTCAGGCCCACATGAACAGAGGAGGTTGGACCTATGGATAGAGGCAAAGGCATATAGTTAGCCACACCTGGAGTGTCTCACTGGATAGCAGACACTAACTGAAGATATGTCCATAATGGCAACAAGGCCTTTCCACTATAACCCACCTATAAACCTAAGCATGCACACACACACACACACACACACACACACACACACACACACCATGGAAGACCACACAACAGACTGCCTCCAAAACTTTCAATCTCTCTAAGTCGATCCTTTAGGCATTGAGGAGGAGAAAATAAAAAGCCAAAAAGCTCAGTTCACTGACTCTTCTGTTTACAAATAATTCAGTTTATGAACGGAACTGTTCCGGCAAAATTTTGCTTCTGTTTGCAAACTCCACATCCAGTGACAAACATGACTGTGGCCATCTTCCACAAGTGGACATGAAAGAAACTCTCTTCCTGAGGATCGTGGAACAAATTAAATTAATGAATCAAGGCATCACTTTATTAAAAATGATAATAGGAGATGAACAGATCAATAAGGTGTCTGATGAGCTCAAAGAAGATAGATATAACTAAGCAGATAATAGGTTTAATAAGGACAACCATTAGTAACTTTACAAAAGACACTAATAAAAAGCAAGTGAGGGCTGGGATTTAGCTCAGTGTTTCCGGAGCCTGCCTCGCAAGCGCAAGGGCCTGATTTTGATCCCCAGTACCAAGGAAAAAAAGGGAATGAGCTGAACAAGACAATACAAAAATACAAAAAACGAATGACCACTTTACCAAAGAATTAGCATCTGTGAAATCCAGGAGATTAAAACTATGAAAGTATGGGGAGCAGAAATGACTAATGTGAGGACAGAGAGTCGGAACCAGAAGATAGGTTGATGCCTTAAAACCTTACAGAAATGCCTTAAAAACAACATGAAAAATAGATCCAACAGCTGCTACATGACACAAAGAAGACCAATCCAAGATTAACTGGCATTAATGAAATATCAGAAGGCAGCACAAATGACATTTAAAACCTGGTTACAGAAATAAGAGCAGAAAAATGTTCAAATATGGAGAAAATGTTAACATACAGATAAATGAAGTGTATAGAACCCCAGATAGTCACAATCAGAAAATAACTACACTGTGACACATCACAGTCACATCTCAGAAATCCAACGCAAGAACAGACTCTTAAAAGCTGTTAGACAATAGCAGTGAATCATTTGTAAAGGCAAGCCCATTAGACATCATAGCAGACTTCTCAACATAAAACTTAAGGCCAAGAGAGCTTGGAGTAAAGGATTTTGAGGCCTAAAACAAAACAACTTCAACCCCACATTGATATATATGGCAAAACCATATTTCAAAATGTATGGAGGAATAAGGTGTTTCCATGACAAAGAGCACCTGAAGAAGTTCATGAAAAAGCAGCACTCCACCAAAGCAGCACTCCAAGGACATCCTACAGAGACAAGCCAACAATGCAAAGTGTAATAGAATGAATGCCAAGCAGGGCGAGAAGTTAACAGAAGGGGGGAAAAGATTCAGCAGCAGAAAAATAAGTGAGGGCAGGAATCCATTAATAGTTTCCAGTGAATGCTCTCAATTCATCAACTGAAAGACACAGATCAGCGTAATGTATCAAAAGACAAAACCCAATGATATCCGGTGTACAAGAAATATATCTTATCCACTGAGAAATTTATGGACTGAAACTGAAAAGGTGGAAAATGATATTCCATGGGACAAAAACTGAAAAACAAGCAGGAGTAGCAATCCTACTTTCACACAAAATGGGCTTCAAGCCAAAACTGATCAGGAAAGATAAAGAAGGTCATTACATACTGCTTAAGGGAACAAGTCAACAGTAATTATAAACACATACGCAGAAAACATAAGCACAAACATCTTCATAAAACAAATATTACTAGACTTAAAAGGTCAGATAAACATCAACACAATTTTAATGGGAGGCCCCAGTACTCCTCTATTATAAATAGACAGAAAAAATAGGCAAAAATCAACAAAGCAATACCACAGTTGAAGAAAACATTTGAACAAATGGACTTAGTAAATGTGTACAGCATTCCACCACCACCACCAACAGAGCATACATTCTTTTCAGCAGTGCATGGAACTTTCTCCAAAATAAGCCACAGACGAGCCAATAAAGCATGCTACAGTCAGTGCAAAAGAATTGAAATCCCATGCATATTATCAGATCATAGCACAAATGAAAAATCAATGAGAAAAGAAACCATAAAGTTATACAAACACATGGAAATTAAATAATACTCTCATAAACAATCAATAGGTCACAGCTGATGTCAAGGAAGAAATTAGTTCTCAGAATCAAAAGATAATGCTCATACAATGTCACAGAACATAGAGGGCACAATGAAAGCCATCCTAAGAGGGAAGGTTATAGCTGTGGATCCCACATCAGAAAAACAAAGCGAGCCCAAATAGGTAATCTAGGGAGGCCCTCAAGGTGCTAGAAAAAGAACAATGCAAATCCAAAATCATTACAAGGAAAGAAATTATCAAGATCATATCAGAAATTAATGAAATTGAGACCATAAAAATACAGACCTTAATGAATAAAAGAGCCAATTTTTCAGAAGAATAAACAAAATACACAAATCTTCAGACCATGTTACCAAGAAAAGGAAAGGCCCAAATCAATACAATTATAAATGAAAAGATATATAGGACAAAACTATATTTCAAAATTTATGGAGAAATAGGTGTTTCCATGACAGAGTACCTAACAATAGCAGGTGTGGGCATGGTAGTGCATGCCTGTAATCCTAGCACTCAGGAGGCTGAGGCAGGAGGATTGCCAAAAGTTGGAGGCCAGCTTGGACTACACAGTGAGTTCCAGACCAACCTGAACTACATAGCATGACCCTGTTTCAAAACACAATAAACATAAAAAGAAAAGAAAAAAGGTGAAATCACAGAGGGCACATCCAAAATTTAGAAGATGGTTAGTAACTACTCTGAAATTTTGTATTCCAATAAATTGGAGAATCAAGAAGAAATACCTTCCCAGATACACATGCATTGCCAAACAACATGAAGAAGATATTTAAAAATCCCTAAAAACCCAATAACAGACATTAAAATTGAAGTAGAACAAAAAGCCTACCAACTATGACAAGCCCAGGTCCTGATGGTTTCACAGTTGGATTCTACAAGAACCTGAGTGATGATCTAATGCCAGCAGTCCTTAAACTCTTTAATGAAATGGAAAGTGAAGTACTTCCAAAGTTATTCCTGGAAAGTAACGATTACCCTGCTTCCAAAACTGGAGACTGAAAAAAGCACAGGCAATTTTTTTTTTTATTGTCCTGGAGATCAAACTTGCACCCTCGTGCCTGCAAGGCAGGCGGCGGGACCGCTGAGCTAAATGCCCAGCAAGGTCATTTTCTTTAATGAACATAGATGCAAACATTCTCAGCAAGATACTACCAACCGGTATACAAGAAATAATCAAAAGATCATACAGTGTGATCAAGTAGGTTTCATTCTAGGAATTCTGGGACGGTTCAGCATATGCAAATTAATAAATGTAATTGATCCCATAAACAGAAACAAGGACAAAACTCATGATCACACCTCACTAGACATAGAAAAAGCCTTTCACATAATCCAACATTTATGCATGATAAAAACCCTGAGGAAATGTGTAAAGAAGGATGTAATCACAATCCAATAAAAGTCATTTGTGACAAACCTACTGCCAACTTTATATGAAATGGGCAAAAGCTGAAAGCTTCACCTCTAAAATCAGGAAAAGGCAATGATGTCATCTATCACCACTATACCCCATCTATACCGCATGAGGCTTTGGGAGGACACCTAAACACAAGCCACAATAGCACAAGAGTGAACATGTGGCCGATGGAAGAAAATAGAGAATGCATAAAAAAATCCCAGGTGCATTCAGCTACCAGATCCTGGACAAGGGCCAAAACTATAAGGTGGAGGAAAGACAGCCAAATTAATAAAGGGTGCTGGAAGAACTTTGAATATGCAGGATAGAGAATCTAGATCTGTCTGTGTACTGTGTACCAAACCAAAATAAAAGGGATTAAAGATCAAAATGTTAAAGCGGAAATACTTAATCTGCTGGAAGGTCAATTAGCTATAATTCTTGAATACATAAGCACAGGCAAGGACTTTCTGAACAGAATCCCAGTTACACAAGAAATAGCATCAAGCATCTGAATCATATCAAATTAAAAAGCTTCCACACAATAAAGAAAACAACCAACACAGCAAAAAGACAATCTGAAAAATGGGGAAAAATGCGCCAGCTTCGACAGAGGACCATTACCTAAAATATACCAAGAACTGAAAAACATTAGACCCACTGAAATAAAAGACTCAGTCTCACACACACACACACACACACACACACACACAAACACACACACACAGTCATTAGACCCACTGAAATAAAAGACTCAGTCTCACACACACACACACACACACACACACACACACACACACACACAAACACACACACACACAGACATACAGTAAGACAACTAAAATGAGTAGATCCATCTCAGAAGAAATACAAATGGCCAATAAATACATGAAAAATGTTCAACATCCCTGGCCATTAGAGAACGCCCTGAGATTCCAGCTTAGTCCAGAAAGAATGACCGTCATCAAGAAATCACGTAAGACCAAATGCTCATGAGGCTGCAGAAGAAAAGGAACTGGTGAACCCCTGAGGAAGTCACTAGGGAGACACCTTAGAGTACTAACATCGAAATTCCAGTCGACCCAGCTGTTCCCCTTCTAAGCCTCTTTCCAAGAGTTAAAGACACCCTACCTCGGTGGTGCACTCACCCTCATGCTGATAGCAGCCCACTTCATAATAGGGAGGCCTTGGAAGCTGTGTGAAGGCCCAGCAGTGGAAAAGTGGACAAGGAGATTGTGGCGCATATACACAATGGAGCCCTATTCAGCTAAAAAGGGAGGTAAATTCTTATCATGTGTAGGCAGACAGATGTAATTGAAATAAACCACACGTAAAGGTTAAATATTGCATGGTTCATCTTCTATGAGAAACCCAAAATATCGATAAATAGCAAAATAATTAGGGAGGTAGATCTTTTGGAAGTACTTCATAATTATTGAAGGATCTAGTTATTAGCAATTTGGGTAAAGATATTGCTTTTGGTGTTTTAAAGTTAATTGCATATGTTCTATGACAAATGTTAAATGTTTTCTTTTGCTTTTGTAATGATAGGAAAGTATTAAGATTAGTGATTTTGATCTGTGTGTAAATTACAGCAATCGGAAGTGTGGAAAATTAATATGTACATATTTTAAGGGTGAAATAAACAGAAACAAGTTTGCCACTACTATTTATGCCAACATAAGTGGATACATCTGTGTTGCTCTGGAATATCCTCTGAATCATAAGGATAGTAACAAGATGTGGGTAAAAGATGGAACTGTTTGTGATACAAAAAAGGTAGGTGGTATCTTCTTTCCAAATAACATCTGAATATTACATACTGTGGAATTTTTGTTGTTGTTGTTTTTGTTTGTTGACAGAGTCTCACTATGTAGCCCAGGCTGGCCTTGAACTCACAGTGACCCTCCTGCCTCAGCTTCTCCGTTGCTGGGATTACAGACCTGTGGCACCACAGCTGGCACTAGACGCTGTGTTCTTAAATGATGCAGATTTATTATTTTCTCATAGCTTAAATGTACAATCAATATTCAAATTTAGAGACTAAGAAAAAAGAATTTTAATCAAATATAATCTGCAATCATTCATGGGTGATAACCCTGTGAAGTTTCCATTGACTACTTTGTTTTCTTTACAGAAGTTATAGACATTCACTCAAGTGAAAATCACACTGTTTGTTCCCTGTATTTTACTAAATTATCTCGTGTTTCACAATGAGCACTTCTAACGTCATGAATTATCTTTTGGAATAATGGTCATGTCTTTTAAAATTGTGTTTATTGGAATATGTTCATAGTTCATGACAATTGCATTCATCTCGGAGAACTGGTGCACGCACGTTCTGCACCGTAGTCACGTTCACTTACACTTCTTCCTCCTCCGCTCCCCACCCATCTCCAGGTCCCCTTCCCATCTCCACGAAGTCCACCACCTCATGTCCTGTCATCTAGCGTTCGCTCCCCCACTCCCCTCGGTACTGGGGATAGAACTCAGGATCTTGTGCTTGCAAAGCAGGTGCAGCACTACTGAGCTAAAGGCCTAGCCCTCGTATCCTCTAGTTTGCATTTTACCCTTTAAATTGTTTATATTTTGGGTTTCTCGTGTAAGAGAAAACATGCAATTTTAACCTCCTTGGTCTGATTCATTTCACTTAGCATTGTGGTCTCAAAGTATGCATTTTTTGTACAAATGACTCAAACTGACCCTTTCTGATACAATAGTGTGTTTATGTATCACATTTTCTGCATCCTTTCATCTACTGATAGGCGTATAGGTTGCTCTCAAGATTTAGCACTTATGAGCTGTGCTGCTATAGACATGGGGCTGCATGAATCACTGTACTATATCTTTAACCTTTCAGGAAGGTAACCAGAAGCGTAACCAGAAGAGGTTTATTAGCTGGGCCAAATGGAATTTCTATTTGTAACTTCTTTTTTTTTTTTTTGGTACCGGGGATCAAACTCAGGTCCTTGTGCTTGCAAGGTAGGCGACGGAACCACTGAGCTAAATCCCTGGCCCACTATTTGTAACTTTTTGAGGCATAGCTACACGGATTTCCATAGTGGTCATTTAGTTATTTCTAAATGGCTTTTAAAATAATATGTGCCCATTACAGAGGTGAAAATAATAAACAATTCACAGAGTCAAACATCTGGAATGTGGATACAGTCACATATCTGGAATATGGTTACATTTCCACTCTCATGAGCATGCCTTCAGATGTTTATATACATACAGGTAGCACAGATACAAACTACTTTCTAACTGTACATTTTTGTAGAATCATCCCATTCCCTGATCTAGTTTTTCTATTTTATCACTCAATATGGTACATGTAGGTATGTATACAATTTTATGTCTCCCACATTTTTCTCCTTCATGCTCAAGTTCTAATTACTATCATGTCCAAACTTTAAATTATAAATCCTCTGTGGTCCAACAAGTAGCAGACTACTGTAAACCACTTGTTGAAGTACAGAGGGGAAGGTAAAATATAGCTGACTAGGGAACCAAATATATTTCTTGTGAATGAAGAGTAAGAAAAATAATTTAATGTTTTCATTGCAACCAGATATAAATGAAACTCTAATAAGTATTTCACCTCTTAATTATATATGTGCATTTAAAATATATTCTTTTGTCTGGTAATTAAGGAAATAATCTCTATACAAGCTGTAGTTCTATTACTTTACTAGAGTTATTTTAAAAACTGAGCAGTGGGGCCAGGGATTTAGCTCAGTGGTTCCACTACCTGCCTCACAAGCGCAAGGTCCCAATTCAATCCCTGATACCACACCCAAAATAAAACAACAACTGAGAAGTGGAAACAGTATACAAAATAAAAAATTGTAACCCCCAAAACTCAAGAATTTTGTAGACCTTTATTTTTATAGCGCTGCATTTGAAAATTATTTGACAAGTTAAAATCAAGGTTATCTTTTGTTTAAAATTCTCCATCATTACTACAGATCCAAGTTTGGGCTACGTCAGTTAAGAACAGCACCAGAAAGGGGGCTGGAGATTTAGCTCAGCAGTCCCGCCGCCAGTCTCGAAAGCCTTCTGAGTTTGATTCCAGGAACACCCCCTAAAAAAAGAGCCATCAACAATGGCTTTGTATTTTTGTCCACAAAGCACAGTCGTTCCTTCAGAGGAGTTACAGGGCTCCGCTGTCCAGGACCCAGACTCGGTCTGGTGTCAGCAGTGGATCCTGTGTGGTGATCCTCTTCCTTCTGCTTCCAATATGATGGGCTGAAGCCACCTCCATGTGCTGGGAGAGACAGCTGGAGAGAGGTGGATGCCGTCTTGGTTCGCCACAGTGAGTGAGCTGGATGAAGGGTTCTTGACCATCTCCACGCATCATCATCATCTACTGGGCCAAGGTGGTCACCTATCAGCCAGACCTGTACCTCTGCAGCTTCAAACCAGTATTCGTCATTCAGAAAACAATGCTGAGTGGTGCTGGAGGCGTCTCCACGGCAGGGCAGGGAGATGGAGGCTGGGGTAGAAATCTTGGGGTGGTGCTACCCAAGTGGGTGGCCACAACCCTTTGTCTTCATAAATACCGTGTTTCCTGTCTATAGGAAAGAAGGATCGACTTAGCTGCATATGAAGAAATTCATCAGTTTTACGTATTCTGCAAACTAGAGTGCTACTGTAACGCCTCATTTGTGAATATTCTTTTAGATTGGAATTGATGTATTATGACCACAAATGTTTAAATTTCTTTTGACATCAGAGAAAACAGATATTTTAAAAAATAATTTTTTTAAAGAAATATTTTCAGGGATATTGACAGTGGGGGCACAGGGTATATGGGAGATCTCTGTGCCTTTTCCATTTTTTTGTGTGAATCCAAAACTGACCTAAAACATTGTCTTTTAAACGCGACCTTTATAAAGTAATAAAAAATATAACTTCTGGAAAAATACTTCCTTTAGTTATGTCTGAAAAGGAATGTAATAAAAACAACGTGAAGAGAACTGTATTGAAAAGTCTCGTCCTGGAAGTTCAAGTAGAAATTAGAAGCTAGCTTAAGCTTCGATGTGAAAATGAGTTGGCCGCAGAAGTAGGCACAGAACCTCATTAATTCTGAGGAAGATGGGGCGCGGAACCAAAGCAGAATGCCGGACGCTGTCCTGATTCTTAGCACCTGACACTCGCTCTTTCTGACTGACCTCAGCGGGAACACAGGAAGGACCGACTGGGCCACGGAATGCGTCTGTGATGATACTTAAGATTGCCTCTGCAGATTGTTTCTTTTTTTTAACTTGAGTTATAAATTTAAAAGTCTAAGAATATGGAAGTGTATTTAAAACGTGGGCAAAGTAATTTATGTTTGCTTCTGAAAACTATCATCAAAGGCTCAAAAGAAGAACCAGTTTCATTGCGTTAAAACATAAACCGTTTTAGAGCTCATATAAAAGAATAAAACCGGGAAGACTACGCAAGTCAGTATGTGTCTCACCCTGCCCGTGGGTAGGAAGAGCACTGCCACAGTGATCCCACCGCCTCTGAAAAGGCGCTGTCACGGAGCAGCAGCCACAGTCAACATGAATGGTTGACAGTGCACTGTATCTATTACGATGCCCTTAGAAGACGGCCCTTTATTTTCTATTTTGCAAATAAAAGATTTTTATTGAAAATGTATTTCATAAATTTCTTTGTTTTGTAAAAATAATTTTGCCTTTTGCCTTTTGTAACATTTGTGAAATGTAAATTTCATATTATTAGTGTTTGGTATAAGTATAAAATCTATTCATTTTAAACGTCATGAAATCACTTCTGTCTGGACTTGCTCATCTGATGTTTTATTCACAGGTAATGCCTTTGCCTTTTAAATTTTATTTAAAATTTGTATTATGTATATGTAAGGTATGCAGTCTGTTGCTGTGATATACATCTACACGGTAAAATGATCGCTGGATTGACCTAACCTACTCGATGCCTTGCATGGTCACTTCTGTGTCTGTGTGTGTTGTTGTACAATCACCTAAGATCCAGTCTCTAAGCAGATATCCAATGTACAATATTATCTTATCAAGGATAGTCCTAGTGTCGTACATTAGAACTGTGGACTTACCCATTGCGCATCATTGAAAGTAACCCTTGGTGATCGCCATCTTATCTCCATTTCTATGTGTTTGACTGTTTCTTTTCAGAATTGTCATTCTGTGTCTGCCTTATTTCGTCTACCATACTTTCCTGTTGGTGTGCCCGTGTCCCTGGCAGCATCTCATTGCTTAAGGCTGAAAAATATTCCATTTTATAGCTAGATCGATACCACAATTTTATTTTCCAGATGAAGTGTATCAAATACTGTTTATATATTTAAACAGTATGTTATACACCTTAAATATATACGAATAAAAGATTAACATTGAAGCAGTCCTTGTAGTGGTAGCTCATTTAGGTTTATTTTGTCTGATATTAGAACCATGATTGTTTTCTTTTGGTTACTATTTGTATTTGCATAGAATATCTTTCTCATTTGATTTTCAACTTCATCTCTTGCAGACAGCAGATAGTTGGACTATGTTTTTTGTTTTTGGGGTTTTTTTTGGGGGGGGTACTGGGAATCGAACTTGGGACCTTGCACTTGCAAGGCAGGCGGCAGCACCACTGAGCTAAATCCCCAGCCCAGCTATGAATTTTTTAACACATTCTGTCAATGCATGAATTAGATGGGAGAAATTAATCCATTAACATTAATTTACTCACTGATAGAAAAAATTTGTTTTTGCCATTTCATTGTTTGTTTTCTGTTTTGTTACATTTTTAGTCTCTCATTTCCTCCTCTACTGCTTTTCTTTGTAACTGGTGTTTTCTAATGCCACATTTTGATTCTCTTCTCATTTTATCTTGTATATTTTCTATAGATATTTTCTTTGTGGGTTTATGGGTATAAAATTATGCATCCTAAATTATAGAAACCTGGGCTGATTATAGATTTCTAATTATAGATTATAGATTTCTAATTATAGATTTCTAATTATAGAAACCTTGCAAGTGCACGGTCCCGAGTTCAATCCCCAGTACAAAAAAAAAAATCCAAAAACAAATTATAAGAAACCTATTTTGAATTGATGACAGAATAGCATTACATGGAAAATTTTGATTCCTTTACAGCTTTTTAATGCCAAAAGTTGCATCCTTTTGTGTTATGTACCTAATAATGTAGAGTTATAATCATTTTCATGCATTTTGCACATTTCATAGAAAATAAAAGTGGAGTTGCAAATAAAAATTAGAACAATACTAGTTTTTATACTTGCTCATTTATTTACCTTAACCAGTGGTCTTTATATCTCCGTAGGACTTTTCGTTAATGACTACATGCACTTATTTCATTCTACAGAACTTTAGTAATTCTTCTACGCTAGGTCTTGTGGTAGTTAATGTCCTCAGTTATTGTTGGCCCAATCTGGACAATGTCTTACTTTTGCCCTCACTTTCACAGGGCAGTCTTCCGAGAGAATTCTTCGTGGACAGCCCTTTCCCCACCCGCTATTTCTCCAGTCTTCTGGCCTCAGATGTCTCTGCTCAGGGTCTCATTGACATTATTTGCATGTGATGATTGGTTTTTCACTTATTCCTTTTTGGGGGGGGGATCCGAGGCTTGAACTCGGGACCTTGTGCTTGTGAGGCAGGTGGAGGAACCACTGGGCCAACTCCCCAGCCCTTCTATGTACTACTTTAAGATACTTCGTCTTTTTCTTCTGACAGACAGGTTGTATCGCATCTCAGTGCTTCTTTATGTTATTTGCTGTTCTTTGAATTTTTAGGATTTATAGATCCATGACTTCTTTTCACATAAGAGATGATTTCAGGAATTATTGCTGCAAGTAATCTTTCTTTCCTATATTCCTTTCCTTTCTTATAGTCTACAAAGACTCCAAAAACATGTACATTCATCTTTTAGATGGTGTTCATAAATCCCTCAGGCTGAGTTCATTTTTCATTTTTTTTACTTTCACTTCTTCACACTCAATAACTTCTAATGTCTTATTTTCAAGTATGTCAATTCTTTTATTTACCCAAAGTTGCTAATTGAATTGATCTAGTGAATTTTTCAATCCATTTTTTATGTTTGTTTGTTTGTTTTTTGAGACAGGGTCTCACTATGTAGTTGAGACTGACCTGGAACTCACTATGTAGCTCAGGCTGGTCTCAAACTCACAGTGATCCTCCTGCCTCGGCCTCACGAGTGCTGGGATTACAATTTATTGAGCCAGAATTTGTTTGGTCTATGTTTATAATTACTTTCTCTTTACTGATGTTCTCATTTTTCCCTGTGTCATTGTTCTAATTTCCTTCCATTTTTTGTCCATATTTTTTCTCTTTAGGTCTTTGAGGGCATTAAGTACAGCTATTGTAAAACATATTTCCATCACTTTAGATTTTCCATATTTTTTCTGTTTCTTTTAATTCCTTGAATTTTTTTTGTTGAAAATTGGGCATCATAAAAAAAATCTATGTCTCATAGTGTTTTATAGAGTCACTTAGTATTGGGGAAGTTTTTATTATTTCGATATATAGTAATAGTGTATGTTCATTGGTGCAATGTAATGCTTTGAAAGATGTATACATTTGTGTAATGATCAAATCAGAGGAATTAGCATATCCATCACATTAAATATTTGTCATTTATTCTTGTGAGAACATAAAATATAAAATCCCATTTGAAAAATACAGTGCATAGCCATAGTCACCCTACTGAGTAATAGAGCACTAGAATTTATTCTTCCACCCTGATGGTAACATTGTACCTGTTGACCAATGCTTGTCCATCTCACCCTTCCCTCCCCACTCCCAGCCATTGGTACCCACTTTCTCATCTTAATTTCTATTGAACATTTTCACATTTACAAATGATAGTATGATATCTGCCCTTATATTACACAGGATCATCCATGTTATCAGAAATGACAAGATTTCATTCTTTTCATGGTTGGATAGTACTTCATCTTCTGTATGTACCCCCTTTCCTTTATCCATTAATCCACTGATAGGCATTTAAGTAATTCAGTCTGTTGGATATTGTGGGCAGTGCTGCAATGAACAAGACAGTATATACCTTTTCATATATATATTCATATTTATTTCTTTTGGAAATATGTATATATGTGTGTGTATATATATATATATAGAGAGAGAGAGAGAGAAAGGAGAGAGAGAGAGAGAGAGAGAGAGAGAGAGGGAATCAAAATTCAGTGGTTAGGTTCAAAGTTGACCTTATGGAAAAATTTCATTTGGTTCTTGTCCAATTTGGTTTTTGACCAGAATCGTGGAAAGAATGAAATTCGTGAGCCAAGGTGGAGATTAGATAGAGATATAGATACAGATCCAACAGGGGAATTATTGGATCTTATTGTAGTTCTAATTTATTTTGTGGGAGAAAGTTCATCCAGCTTTCCATAACTGATGTACTAATTTACTTTCCCACAAGCAATATATAAAAGTTCATCCTTTTCTCTGTGTCCTCACCCGTTTTTGTAATGTTTTTGTCTTTTTGATGATAGACATACTACTGGAATGAGGCAATATTTCATTGTGGCTTTTATTCTTGAATATTATGGGATGTTTTTAATTAAATGACAAATCTAATTAGCATATGAATAAGCTTTTTTTGACTTGTTGCTTCTTCAGGTTTGTAGGAATAAGGAATGTGTAGCTGATTCATATTTGGGTTATGACTGCACACCAGCAACTTGCAACAGAAATGGTGTAAGTACCAATGCTGTGAGGTCACAGAACATTTAGACTAATCCAAGGAGAGCAAATGCCCAGCACACACACAGCACACACAGACTGTGTGTGTTCTCATCTACATACTTATATACTCATAAACCCCATAAAGATTTGCTTTACTTTACCTAAGAATTGATTTATTCTTCTTCTTGAACACATACAAATCCAGCTTCTTATCTTACAAGGTGATGCTCTTTTGCTTCCAGGTATGCAATAACAAAAAGGTATGTCATTGCAATCCCGGATTTTTACCTCCAGACTGCAACACCAGAGCCTCTCCTTTGGTTGGTGCACGATTTGAACCTGGTAAGTATTAATAATAAATTGAAAACATTATTAAGACATCAATTTAATATGTTAAGGTTAAAAAACATGATATGCCAGTTTATATTTAAATTATATGTAAGCGTCAAATAATAAAACCACATATGGCTATTTGGTTTTACATCGCACATCGAGTATATCACACACACACACACACAGAATCAGTGAGAGCCCAGGCAGGAAAATAGAAGTCAGTTTGGTTCTTAAACAGAAGGGAATCGATATAAGGCATCAGGTAATCCATAATGGCAGAAATGAAAACCAATCAGAATGGTGAGATACCTAGATATTAACAATACCGGGAAACTATTAAGAGCTGGAGTGACAGTGAAAGGAGCTGATATCACTAGAACTGGAACCTGAACACGGTATGACGTGACTGTGGTCAGAGCTGGAAAATAGGTTATGGGCCACAGGGAGAGGTACTACCCAGTGTCATCTGGAGGTTTAAAGGGTACACAGGCACTGTTGGCAACACTAGAGAGAACGAGGGAGAAATGCCACTGCTACTTCGCTCTTGCAGTGCTGCAGATTCTGTCCAGAGACTCTGACTACCAGACCTAGCTAGAACGAGCAGTCTGGGAAATCTAGCTCCCTGCAATACCGATCAAAGCAGAGCCAAAGGAGGGACGAAGTTTAGAGAAAGCCACCAATTCACCAGAATTTGCAATAGCACTTAGGGCTGGGCAGTTTCCTTTCTAAATGTATATAAAAACCTAACCTTAAAGATAAGTAGAGCCTGGGTTTCCAGATTTTGAGTGAAAGGTAGTTCTTCGTGTTTCCATATTTATACCAATATTTGGAAGTACTATGTTTAATGACATATAGGAATAGATTGGTAAGTTTAACACATTATACTAAGTGAAGTAGAATACAAAGCTATTTTCATGTTAGAGGCAGCAGATGCAATTGTTTCTGCCTGGGCACACGTGCCTCCTACTAAGGAGCAATGGAGATGCTTTCCTAGGGTCCAGATTGGTCTTACTGATAGAACTGATCAGTAACTTGTGCAGAACTGGCCTTCTGGATCTCCCATGATCTTCTTGCAGACTCTGACTAGCCCTCTTGGAAAGTTTATTCTGGGAGCTCTCATTCCTTTGAAAGTCATTTGCAGTGTATGGAAAACAAGTATACTGAGGCACAAAAAGGCACCCACCCTATAGGGCTTTCCCTAAACTGGTGACCCTCACAATTGTAAACAAAATTAAATGTAACTAAGCTTTGAAGAAATTTCTTACACAGCAACATATAATACAAATCAGAATAGTGTATTTCTATAGCAAGCACATGCCATTTATTTTGGAAATGGTCAGTGTCTTGAAGGCACCTGGGCTCTAGAGACCCTTAAAAGACAAACTGAAAGCTTCTTGACAAGATTATTGGTGAATAGTTCAAAGGAAGTTTAAAAAAACATTGTTAAAATTGGAGAAAATGAAACATTTACTATGAAATGATAAATGGTTGGAAGTCATTGTCACCTGTGGTAATGTGGCAGGCAGAACTCATGCTTCCCGTTGGTAACAAGTAAAATTCAGGTTAAATATAGAACATCTAGGATTTAGGGTAGAGGGAGGATAAAAGTACATTTTCATTCCTGGTCTCTTCCAACAGATGTTCTAACAAGTGGCTGCAGCCAAATTTGACATATTGTTTAGTAATAAAATTTTATCTCAGATTAAAATATATGTCAAGCATTTTCCTATGATCTCCTCTGTTAAAACTTCATATACAAAAGGCCTAAATGTGTTAAGGAAATGACTCCTAAGAATTTACCCATGAGAAGTCTATGAAGAATTTTAAGTAGGTTTTCTGGTAGCAGCCTCACTAAGGCTCAGTACAGAGAAAAGCTTATGTCAAACAGGGTTGTAAGAATGGCCTTCCGAGAGCAGAGTGAATGCTGCTATTTGATACACAAAAACCCACAGGCTAAAGGAATTGTATCAGCTCAGGCCGAATGTGATCAAGACAAATGCATATATATGTTCATTCCTCCAATCCACGAAGGCTTCGAAGCAGACTGCTAATCCTATTCAGATTTTGAGAAGGGGCAGTCCTTGTGGAATATGAACAATCCACCAAAGCACTCAGACAGGAAGCCGGGAGCCAAAGCTTCTTGGATCTCAGGGTTGATGGTATAGAAAACCCACCACCAACAAAAACAAACCATGGCCCCAGATGTGAGCTGGACCACATTCCTGCAAGGAAAAAAAATACTGTTTTTAAAAAATGACACTGATGGGGAAAATCCATCCATTCATTTTATGAGGAAAGCATAACTCCTATGCCAAATTCTGACAAGCAAACTTATAAAGAAAAAAAAACCACAAGATGCATTCTTTATGAACAAAGTCCCCAAACTCCCAACAAATTATTAACTCGTACTATATAACTGTTTATATATATATTATTATATATATATAATTTTTAGACACAGGGAATCAAAACCAGGACCTTGCACTTGCAGGGCAGCCATGGCTCTATTGAGCTAAATCCACAGCCCACAACTGTGTATACTAAAGTACAATAATAAAGACCAATGGGACTGTTTTTTATTCAAAACTCAATCAGTACAATCCAGCATATCAGCAAAAGACAGAATAATTGTCCCATCTGATGCAGGAAAAAAAATCACTTGACAGTATTTAACATTTTTTCATAAATTTCTTCAAAAGCAGAAAATTAGCTCAATCCCTAGCCCTGGAAAAAAGAACACTCACAAATCTCCAGCTAAGTTAACTGAAGAAAAACTCCTCACTGTGATAACGGATATTGTCAGCAACAACAAAAACTTGTGTCTGATATGTCGTATGATACACTATATTTTCCCATGAAATTGGGAATGAGGGAATAAACCTTGCTTTCACTCCCTAGCTTGTGCATTAAAGAAACAACCACAAAGAGGAAACAAAAACATGAGAAAAGAGGAACTGAGACTGCTTTCATTATGTACTGATGTGGCCGATTACATAGAAAATCCTCACGAATCTACAAGAACACTTCTAAAAGCAATAAGCACCTTTTTATTTAAAAATTAGTTGTACTTCTATATAATAGGAAGTGAATAGAAATCAATTTCACAGTAGTAGTATCAACAATATTATCGCAATGTAAAATAGAAATAAATTAGCCAAAGATGTGTAAGGTCTTCACCTTGAAGACAAAACAAACGTACAGATAGATGTTCAACATCAAAATAAATGGAGAAATAGGGCATTTTTACCCACTGAAAGGCTCATGATTGCTCAGATGTCAATTCCCATCAAATTAACTGTGTACTTTATTTAACATATACAATGCAAATTTACTTTATATTTATTATGTGTTATATTGATGACAAATAGATCATATTGTAAATTTAATTCTATAACTAAATTCTATAGCTTAGAAATATGAATAAAAATAGCATACAACTGTTCAAAAATCAACAATTTGATTGTCAAATACATGCAAAAATTCTGACAAGGGTCAAATAACTTTCAAAAAAGCAAGGAGAAAAGAAGGCTTAGTCGATTTGATTGATACTGAATTTAGTAAATTCCTCATAGTACAGATTTTGTATATAGATCTATTAACCAAGGCAGTATGCCATTGGTAAAGGTGCACAAATATATTAATAGGTTGGAACACAATTTTTAGAAATATATGTAGTAAATTATAGCTAATCTATTTTTTCAGTAGGAGTGCAAAGAGTGAGGAAGGAAAGTTAGTTCAAAGCACTGCACTGAGCAAATGGATATTTATGTGAAACCAAATGAACTTCAACCTCCTCGCATAGTTAAGAGTCTACAGGAAATGGCGTATAAATTACATGCAAAGGGAAAAATTATAAATCTTCTAGCAGGATGCGTGACATTCTTGACCTTTGGATAAACAACGATTTCATAGATGAGACATGAAAATATCAATGCAATAAAACAATTTACGCTTAATCAAAATGTTACATATACAGTGCTTTGATTGAACTGTTTTTGGCTAAAGAATTCCTATGGGAATTGGACTTCAATTCTTTTCATCTATTGTATGAGAGACCACCAAGGGAGAAGATAATCAAAAATGGGAATACAGCATAGGCACTAGAAGAGTTTATTTGTGTATTTATGCTGTCTGGTTATCTCCTTCATCTAAAACTTTGTTAATCATAAAGCATTAAGTAGTTTCAATTTTTATTGTTGGAGTCATAATAAAATACAGAAATATCTTTCCTGAATGCCTGGTTATATTGCCTTCTAATTAAGCTCTGGTGTATTTCTCTCCTAGAAAGGCATTACATCGAGGGTGCTTACCCGACCAAGCTGAAAAAGTGGCCATTTTTCTTGATCATTCCTTTTTTCATTATTTTCTCTGTACTGATTGCTATAGTGGTAAAAGTCTATTTCCAAAGGAAGAAATGGAGAACGGAAGACTATATAAGTGATGAGTATGTTGAGTTTACATTTAAATTTTATTACTTTTATAACTTTTGGTATGATAACTTATTCATAGCATTCAGTAGGTATAAATAGTAATGATTCATACATAACTTTTATCTTTATATGGAAAATTAGCACTTAACAAGTTAACAATTAATATAATGAATAATCAACAGAAACCATTTTGACCTGATCAAAAGTTGGAGGTGGGCGCGTTGTTACGTGCCTATAATCCTAGCACTCTGGGAGGATGAGGCAGGAGGATCTAAAGTTGGAGACAGGATGGGTGACTTTGCAGCTTAGGTGGACCCTATCTCAAAATAAAACATAAATGACCTGGGCATGGTAGCACAAGCCTGTAATTCCAGCACTCTGGGAGGATAAGGCAGGAAGACCTAAAGTTTGAGCCAAGATGGGAAAGTTAGCAACTTAGGGAGACCCTGTCTAAAAATAACAAATACATGGCCCGGGCATGGTAGCAGAAGTGTCTAATCCGAGTACACTGGAGGCTGAGGAAGGAACATCACAATGGGTTCCAGGCCAGCCTGGGCTAGTCACCTCGAGGCTGGTCTGAATTACATAGTGAGACTCACTCAAAAAAAGAAAAACTATCCCTGCCGAAAACCAAGAATAAAAAAAATTAATTTTCTAAAAGTATATTATAGGAATAAAAATAAGTATTAAAATTGGAATAATTCTACTCAGGGAAATTTTACAAAATAATTTCTGCCTTTGGGTTTTATACCTATGCCCTTTGTTTTACATCAAATGAATTTGAATGTCACTAAATAAGCAATGAGACAATGAACAAGGACTATGCTTCATGGGTATATGTTGAGAAGTTACCGTAAAATTGTGAAAATAATATGCAGCATATAAAATAGTTCACCATTTTAAATATACTTTGTTAACATTTATATATATTACTTTCTTATATTGGATAACTGTATTGTGGAGAAATTGATATCAAGTAACTGTGGGGGGACAATAAGCTAGAAAATATTAGAAATGAATCGGACTAAAGATGAAGTGTAGGGCTGGGATTGAGCTCAGTGGTTCCACCTCCTGCCTTGCAAGCACAAGGACCCGAGTTTGATCCCCAGTACCCAAAAGAAAAAAAATGAAATTTAAAAGAAAGGTGAAAGACATCTCACCAATATCATGTGGAATATGAAAATGATCTGGGTTTCAGCTCCTCCCACGCTGGGTGTCTTCCTGGAAGAGTAAAGATGTCCTGCTACAGTGACCCATGCACACCCGTGTTTGGAGCAGCACAACTCCAAATAGCTGAGTATTGGAAACGGCCTGTGCGTCCATCAACATTTGAATGGATAACAGGAACAGGGCATTTGAACTCAGTAGAGTGCGACTTTGCCGTAATTAAAGATACATTTGACTCTTTTGTAGGGAGATGGGTGCACCTTGACACACAATGTTAAGTGAAATAAATCCGACAGCACAAGCTTAAACTTCATGTGGCTTCTCTTACGTGGAAGACCTAAAGTGTAAATACATTAAATGACCCAATAAAATCTAGATACTAGGAAACATATTTTCAGCAAAAGGGAAGGAGAACAAGGGATGAGGGGAAGACAAGGAAGGGGACGCAAAAAGAATGAAGATGTGTTGTGGACGTGGACCGGCTCCCCGTGATGGATGGAATCCCCATGTACTACGAACACTTCCCAGCGGAAAGGAAGGAGAAAGAAGGCGATGCGGGTGTCTGTGGGAGCAAACCTCTCCGGTCCTGTGCACAGCTGAGTCCCGGGGGAAGGGCTTCCTGTGTAGCAAATGCCCACGTAGCGACTGCGCCCAGCTTACAGGTTGTGTGTGTGTGTGTGTGTGTGTGTGTGTGTGTGTGCGCGCGCACGCGCGCGCGCGTGCATGTCTGTGCGTTTCAGTACTAATAAATGGTACGGAGTTTTGGAGAAAATATACTTCAAAATGATTATTTTTATTTTAAAATGCAGGGATCTTCAAAGTGAGAGCGAACACAAAGATTCCAAAGAGAAGTCTGGGTAGCAAGGATTCTGTGATGTCACAGTGAGTGTTAAACATTTCGAGGCCTGAGAGTGGGGAGGGGTATTAGAAAAGTCTACGTCTGTATTACATAGGGATACTCGTGCAGTTTTATGTGGTACGAGTAAACTAAAGATTTTCAGTATTGTAAGTTATGTCACAGAGATGCTAAAGGTGTGAATGACACTGCGATTTGTCAAGAATTTTAAAAATTCTTGCAGCTTTATATTTTTATTCCAGTCTCTAATTGGGCTTAATCATTTTGCATCTGTAGATTCAAAATGTTGGTTAAAGGTATATAACATGTACAAAGTCTGTTTCATACTAAAGATCCTTGTGTGATCTTTGCATCTGATGTCATCAAAGTTGCTGGGCCACACTGGTCACTTCTTCTCCTTTCTTCACTCTTTCACAGCATTTATCTTCAATGGACAGAAAAACGTGGAAAAGAAAAAATAAGCACTACCCGATTTCCTGGAAATCAAACCTGCATACTGTGATTTCCGGTACACCAGAAAAGATACACGTTTTCATGTACATGGAGTATATAGACATAGATATAATTCTACAATTTATCTGTAAGAAAGGCCCAATTATGAGTTTCATGTTACATTTTTCTTGTTTCCAATGTCATTTCACACTGTGTTAGCTGGTAGTCATTAATGCTGTTCCTTAGTAGGCATGATATAGGAGAAGTTATAATAAAGGAAATGCCATGATTAAAGGCTACTGTGATATTTTAAATTACAAAGGATATGCTTTTAGTATTACAATCTGATGGTTTAATAATGATCTAAAGGTCTTGAAAAATATCTCACCTATATGCTCCTTTCAGAAAACACAATTTCAAGTATACAAGATTGTAAGTAAAGAGTGGAAAAATACATGTGGTGCCTCAGGAATTTTGTACCAAGAAATCTGATATACTTTAACATTGAAAGTTTAGAGATTACAGAAGAATACATCATACTTCAAAGGGTCTTTTGTCCATTATATTGTATCCATACCATGAATCCTAGCACCCTTAATTCTAGCATTGCAACATGAAACAATCACACAGTGGACTGAGCCATCTCTGAAAAAAAGCATCTATGACTACATGAGGCTGTGGGTGACATCTAGACACAAGCCATAACATTCTGCCCCGGCCCCCCAAATATGTTTGCACATTTCTTTATGAAAAGCCATTTAGAATATCTCTCACAGTTGCCAAAGTCTTAGCATTGCTGAAAAGTATAAATCTTAAAGTCTCTTCCGAGATTTACGACAAACTTTTAGCTGTGTAGCCCTGTACAAATGAAAAGAAAGTTAAACACGTCTAACATGTTCTCTTGTATACTTTGATGGTCATAAACAAGAGCATTCGTAACCCTGTGATGTTTTTAATACTTGGAACTATAAGCAAACCAAATATCCACCAACAGTGAAATGGAACACACATGGTGTTCTATTCATTCAATGTGAAAAACCCTAAACCAAAAACACTGAGGTGGTCGGATTTAAAACTGTCATATTAGAGGAAACCAAACATAAAGAGCGCCTACTGACTGATTATATTTGCAAAGCGTTAGTAAAAGAACTCATCTGTGGTTGTTTGAGGGACTGATGGCAAAGGCTTGGGTGGTTCCGTTTTATTTCATGATGGAGGGAACCATTGCAGGGCTTGTTCACTTTTCACTTGAATATTAAACTGAGCACCTACGATTGACGTCACATATCCGTAATGCATTGTCCTCGTTATTATAATCATTACCAGGAAGTAAAAATTCGCTTAAGAAGTATGTGTGAATCTACTTATTCCTGAGCTGTTTCATTGGTTTTTGCCTCTTGGGAATGATTTTTTTTTTAAAACATGCTCTCTGTGCAGTGCAAGTTGGCCTTAAACTCAATATAGAGCCCAGGCTGGCTTCAAGCTCATGACAGTCATCCTGCCTCAGCCTCCCTGGTGATGGGATTACAGGCATACAAAATGATTCTCTTTTTTGGTTTTTCCTTTTCTTGGTGCATGCTGGCAGTAGATAATGATTGCATTCATTGGGGGAAGATGGTGCATGTAAATACATCACAAGTCTTGTTACATCCCCTGCCTGCAGTCAAGTCCTCCCTCCTTCCTCCATCTCTCATTCCTCTTTCCATTTGTAAAAGAGCCATCTCCTTGTTTCCTGATATTTGCCTCTTATTTTGCTCTTTAATTTTTTTACACTTTGGGATTATCCTATATGAGAAATCATGCCATATTCAAGCCCGGTGTCTGATTTATTTCACTTAATGTTGTGGCCTCCGATGCATTCACTTTCCTACACACCTCTCCAATGTATCCATGTTTACAGCAGAGAAGTACTCCGCTGTGCACAAATACCGCACTGGCTTTATCCATTCATGTATTGACCCACAGACGATAGCATTATTAGCTA